ATATATATATATATAAACACACACACATACATACCACCAGAAAAGCTTCCAGTGGTCTTACAGAAACACCCTATCTCTACAGTGAGTGTTTAGAAATATACAGATTTAGTGCAAAGATCTAATATACAACACATCTGACGAGGCAACACCTGCCACTAGGTGGAATCCTAAAATATGATGTATATCAACTGAAAAAGATACAAAATAATAACAGGTCAATCTACCCCAGTCAAAGGTGAACAGACGTATGGAGAATCACCACAGAAAGAAGATGATATCTGATTGAGGGAGACACAGCCAAGTCGTGCAGATAGTGTACTACGAATGTATTGAGTGTTGTCCACATACTACAAAAGTCGACGAATTCGAGCAGCTAAGGACATAGTTAAGTGACAAATTTGGTGCAATGAAATAATTTGCAGCAGGCAACCGTACATGGACAAGTCAGAATACGCTAGCCATACGAGTTACCAAACACAGCCAATAAGGGTAACAGAAGATAGATCCTGGGAAACAGAAGGATTCCAGGGAATAAACAGGGAGGAATGGGTGCCATGAAAGGAGGCAGTACAAGACACATAACAATGCACGGAACATACAGGACAGAGAAGACAATCAAGATCTGAACATGAATACAGGTGAGAAATAGATGGTAAGGAAATGGGAGAAAAGGCGAAACAACCTTCACAGGCAGCAGCCGTCTTAGGAAGGAAGGTCTGATCCAGATAAAGGGTAACATAAGAGGAATGGTAAAGGATATGGGAAACATTAATGGCATAAACATCGGAACAACAATGTCCACATGGCAGGAGAAGAAGAAAATAGGTCTTGAGAGAAAGATGGTACAAGGAACATGTAGCAATGAGTTCAAATGGAGAACTAGACAGCACATGAAGAACAACACTGTGATTTCAATCTGGAAGAACAAAAGGATGCACAAGGAACATGTAGCAATGAGTTCAAACAGAGAACTAGACAGCACATGAAGAACAACACTGTGATTTCAATCTGGAAGAACAAAAGGATGCACAAGGAACATGTAGCAATGAGTTCAAACAGAGAACTAGACAGCACATGAAGAACAACACTGTGATTTCAATCTGGAAG